GCGTTGTCCAAAGTTAAAAAGGCTGGAGTTGTATACATATCATCAAGAATCAAATGCAAATGTAGGTCTTTTTCTTTGCGCTTTTATGTTAAGAATATATTAGATTATGCATCTAACATTTTGATTTCTAATATTTGTGCAGTCGCTCTTCAGGTCATTATTGAAATTCCGCAATCTCGAGTATCTTGCTATTTATCCCGGGGAGAATGCGAGGAGACAACATTTCGAAAAATTACTAACTCATCGTCGACTCAAAGATGTCAAATTCTCTTTTGGCAATATTGATGATATGCAATTATACTATAATGATCTTCAACGGAGAAATCGGGGTTGCTTACATGCAGAATTTTCTTCTGGAAATTTTATCACAATAAATTCCGAATAGGATTAATCAATCCTCTTCATTCCCTTTCGCAAAAAAAAATTTTTTTCCTTAATAAGGAAAAATCGAGAAAATAATAATATATATTCATATTTATTTATTTATGTATATTAAATTTTCTCCTGGAGGACGCTTCTAGACATTTTATTTTAATTTACTTTGGCAGGCACATAATTTTACTTCGTGCGGAAAAAAAAAAACTCTTTATTTATACAACTGCAAAAATGTTAGAAATCTGACTTATTTTATACATCTCATATTAGCAGAGATTTTAAGATAGTGTAGTTTCTTTGGATTATATTTATATCAAAGGCAAATAACTAGAATGGCTTTCTTTGCATATAATTGATTCAAATCTATTATACGTACTGTATATTGTACAAAAAAAAAAAGGAATCTTTTCATCAAAATACTTTTCATTGGAACATGTCATTTTTTCTTCTGATCGAATTTATAAAAGATCCATTTGAGATTAAGTAGAGGTGATGTTCAAAGGAATGTCCAATTTTCACGATAATTAGAATTACGCGTGCAAGCTACGAATCATGTGACATTTTTTTGATGAAGTAAATAAAAATAAATAATATACTCTATATACAGTATAGTAAATATAAATTAGATTTAATATCTTGTATATAAAATATATTTGCTTGATAAAATTAAATAGCTTGTTTTGTTTACAACGAAATCTTAAATATGATAAATTAGATATTTTTTTTTATAATCAACAAGTATTTATTGTATAATCTTTATTATAACAGTTATAAGTATTTGTACTTTTTTTTAACTTTTATAAAATAAAAACAAAATTATTATTATTATTATTATTTAAATTACAATACTAATTTTAAATTTTAGTAAATTGTATAATTCCTATTAGATTACATTGGTGCATTATATATAGATAATTATTTTTGAAAATAAATTTAATATAATCTTAAATTTTAAATATATAATTATATGATATTGATTAATTATTTGATTTTTTCATTGATTTGAATTTCTGAATTTATTTTATTTTATTTTATTTTTTTTTAATCAAAACTACTAGTAGTGCATTATTAATTCATTTATAAAAAACAATAATACAATATACAATATAATACTATATTAAAGATAAACAATTTTTTATAATAAAATACTTGTCAATAAGTTGTTTATAGATTTGTATATGATTCTTAAAAATTATTATATTGTTCATATAATCTAACTATTTATTAACTATTTTATTACAAGAAGATAGATTTATTAAACTATTATTATGTAATATTAACTATTTTAGACTTTTCAAATTTTAATTAATTCTTTAAATATGATTATAAAAAATAATAATATTGTTTCTTTTCAAAATTAAGTATCAAAATCTTAGATTTGAGAGATCAAAATCAGTTTATATTTAAACTGTTATCCCAATATAATCTTGTGATTTTAAAAGATAAAAATTTTTTATTTTTTTATAAAGTAAAAAAGAAAAAAAAAAAAAGAAAAAAAAGTTTATATTATTAAATAAAAACTTTTTTAAATCAATTATTAATCCATAAAAAATTTTTTTAATTTTGAAAAAAAAATTCCCATTATAAGAAAAAAGATTTAAACCATTTTTAATAAAAGAATCATTAATATTTTACTCTTTTATTATATTTATTTTTTTTATTTTTTTTATATAGATGAATATGCAATAATGCAAATCTTTATTGATATATGAGTAATCTCAAACTACATTAAGTATCCTTTTACAATTGGAAATTATACTATTTGTACTGATTATATAGTTTACAATTATAAACCAACACTGCCTAATACTATAACATATTAGCTTACCATCCATCTTTTTGGACTTAACATGTGAATTGTATATCAAAGGTGCGATATTTTATATATTAGATGGGGTTTCTATAGGGAGGGAATGCCTACCACTAGTTTAAATCACCTAACCTATAACCCAGTTTCTAAGAGCTATGTCTATCCCGCAAAAATTTGATTATCAGATTTCCAGACACTCCAATACTTTTCATTTGAACTCTTGGAGAAAATACTTGCTTCTTGTCATTACCTGCAGCTTCAATAGATCCTTTTCAAGGGATTGACATCTTTTAAGCAAGTGCCAGATTGGGATAGCTCCAAATTAAGAAATCTTGGAATGGTTGAATTCAACTTATTGGGTATGACATATGTAGAGGAACCTATGTAACCTACATATGAAGTGACTTCATGATAATCATTATACACCAACTGAATAATCATTACACCACAATGCCTTAACTGGAAATTACAATCTTAATATCTTACTGGATCGGCATATAAATAACTTCTTATAAAAAATAGCACATAATTGATTATGGTACCAGATATTATATTAATTCTATTCAATCACCTTCACCTGGGGTTGAACTGGTATCTTGTGATCTGATTTGTGAAGCACTAACTACTGTGCTATGGACCTACAGGTCTTTTTTACTATATTTAATTATATTATTAATTTTAATATAGTATAATATAAAATATATAAGAAGTATATATCTTGTTTATATTTCTTTTATATATAAATTAATTAGTTTAAAATTTTAGTCAATTACTAATCAGAATTTTTAATATAACAAAAAATTCAAGATCAAATCAAAATAAGCAAAATTTCTTCAAAAATAGATGAATTATAATCCATTTATATTTTTTATATATATGCAAGTCCATACAAGTCTATATAATTCCAATTTTGAAACTATAGATTTAACTTTGATAAAAGTCTATAATTTTTTTGACACAGTAAACTCTATATTATAAAAAATACTCTAGCCTAAGGCTATTCTAATTTGATATTTGTTTAAAAGAAAAAGATTTAATAAAAAAGAAAATCTAAAATCACAAGTGATGATAAAAAGTATAGAATTTTTTTTAAAATTTTAGATAAAAAGTATTGAACAAGTTATTTAAATGTTCTAATTAATTCTAAATATAATATATATACTTCAAATAACAATTGTTAAAATTAGGGCTCCAAAAAGTATCAAACTGATATCAAAATGGTATTGAAATGATACCGATCTATAGTAAATTTAATATATGGATTGTGACCTACTTATATGAATTTATAGTAAATTTAAGTATCGAACTAATATCAAACAGATATCAAAGTAATATCATTAGGAGTCCTACTACCTATAAAAGTTCTTTATAGTTTTAAGCATCTATACAAATCTTTTCTGGAATTATGTCCCTATTGAAATAAAGAGCTAAGAATTATGTCTTCTAGAGGATGTGGACATAAAAGAATATAAATTTTATATATTAAATACTTTAGGAACTTATCTTTATCTATAAGTGTCAAATTTATATCATCACTAAATAGTTTATTAATTCTTTCTGTTCTTAGTTTACAGTTAGTTTTGTATTCTCATATAGTTAAATTATAAAGACTATCTTTAGATAAATAATCATTAATTTCTATTGATATTCTCTCATAAGAAAAGATTTGATAGTTTTCTGATTTGTTTTCTACAGATTTAATTAGATTTTTTAACATATTACTTATTGAGATCATCACTTTTCACATGAAACATATGATTGAATTCCTTGTTATTGTTGTTATTGTTATTATTTCTTTTCACATGTAATATATATTTAAGCCTCTTATTGCTATTGTTGTTGTTATTGCTACTAACAATAGTTGTAGTCCCTTCGCCACTGGTAATGGCTTCTTGTGTTGGTTTTTCTAAAGTTTTTATCCTATTAATCTTCATACTTTTTGTTTTATAAACAGTATTGTAATATATTATTCTTGTGATATGATTAGTAAAGTTTTCTTCACATTCCATACACTGACATGTTTTAGAAGGTATAGGTTGTTTAGATAAAGGTTGTTTATCTACTTCTGTTTCCAGTTTCTTTTCTTCCTAAGGCTTTTCTTTTGAGGTTGTCTTTTCCTTTTCTTTTTTAAAAAGCTTGGATTTGGTTGGAAGATAAGAACTTGTCGTTTAGAGATACTAAAATCAACCGAAGAAGTCTTTTCTATCCATTTGAAGAAGAGTTTTTTTATTTGGTTCAACTGTTCAGTTGGATCAGAGTATTTGAATTTGGTACTATAGAAAAAACTTATTTCTACAATAATATTCATTATATTTAAGTCTTTGGAAATAAAAACTTTGCTTCTCATTATTTTTGAAAAAACTTCCCTTTAAGGAAATTTTTCAACAAAATGTGATTAACAAAAAAGAGTTTTTTTTATAACTATCAATATTACTTTTTTAATCTCTTTATTTTATATATTATAATTGATTTCTTTTATATTTATCTATTTGCTATAATTTTGAATAGACCAGATTATAGAATATAACTTGTTAAATTTATATATAAAATTTAAGAGATTTTATAAGTTTTCAGTCTTTTTAAAAGTTTTAGTAATATTAAAGATTTGAAAATAATATATAGGACCTTATGATATTCAAAAATTTTGAAGTGTATATTTTTTTTCTTTTGTAACTATATTTTGGTTTTGATTTTTTTAATTGTTAAGATTAAATATATTGAATTATATTTAAAATTTTTTAGATTTTTTTAGTTGGTCTATTGTTATTGTATTTTTTATATTATTATCTTATATAGGATTTTGATTTGTTAAATATTTTTGTATATGTTTTAAAAAATAGTATTAAAGTTATTAGCTTGTATTTTCTTTTTTACTTTTTCAACAAACTTGTTTTACTGTTTAGTTATTAAGTTTTAATAGAATATTGTTATTGACTTTTCTTTTCTTCTTTATAAAATATATCTTTTATATATTGTAAGATTTTTTATAAAGAACTTAAAACAAAGTAAGATATAGTTACTATAGATTATTATTATTATTTTTTTTTTTATCTGTAGTCAATTTAGGATTTCTCATCATCTTCTTAATCTTCTAATATTTCTTTAAGATATATAAATGATTTTTGTAAATTCTTAATACTTGTCTTAAGCCTAAGTCTTTAAGTATAGATCTTGAAGAGTATAAGTTACTATATTAAAAC